GAGTGGGTCACATTCAAACGTTGTGGGGTTGCACTATACAGAACAGAAAAAGAAGGATAAAGGTAAAGGTAAATGTGTATTTGCAGCTGAGATGCTGGGAAGCTGGAGAGCATGGATGTTAGCTTTTAATATAGCTGATATTTTCCTTCTTTGGTTTGATGTAAGAGATGAAAAATTTGTAGTTTACGTTATTTATGAGTTAATTAAAATGTTAAAATGTAGTCCTAATGGCTGGGGAACAATAACTACTTTTTGTATTTATTAGCTATTACAGCTAACTGAAAAGTTAAATACGGACCCAGATTTTTTGCTGGATTTGTTTTTAACCTTTTGCTTGTATGATCTGTTTCTGTAGATAAAGCTACTAATAACGGAATGTGTAAAGACATATGTGATTCACCCATATTCAGTGACATCCCTGCAGAAGAGGAGAAACCTCTTGATATTCAAACTGTAGAAATTTCTACAACGGAAGTTAATGCTGTAGAAGTTCACGATATAGAAACACAAACCGTGTCACCTGAGAAGCTAGAAGCTGAGGATCTAGAGGAGATCCCTCTTGAAACCTGTAAAATCTTCGAGAAGAACCAGGCTTTGAACATCACAGCTCAACAGAAATGGCCTTTGCTGAGAGCAAACAGCAGCGGCCTGTACAAGTGTGAGCTCTGTGAGTTTAATAGCAAGTACTTTTCTGATTTAAAGCAGCACATGATACTGAAGCACAAGACCTGTACAGACACCCACGTCTGTAAAGTTTGTAAAGAGAGTTTCTCCAGCAAAATGCAGCTGATTGAACATGTAAAGCTACACGAGGAAGATCCGTACATCTGCAAGTACTGTGATTACAAAACGGTGATCTTTGAGAATCTGAGTCAGCACATAGCAGACACTCACTTCAACGACCACCTTTACTGGTGTGAGCAGTGTGATATGCAGTTCTCCTCGAGCAGTGAGCTGTACCTGCACTTCCAGGAGCACAGCTGTGACGAACAGTACTTGTGTCAGTTCTGTGAGCATGAAACAAACGATCCAGAAGATCTGCACAGCCACGTGGTGAATGAACATGCGTGTCGGCTGATAGAGTTAAGCGACAGCTACAACAACAAGGAGCGTGGACAGTACAGTCTCATAAACAAAATCAGTTTTGACAAATGCAAAAACTTTTTTGTATGCCAAGTGTGTGGCTTTAGGAGCAGGCTGCATACCAATGTCAACAGGCATGTTGCTATTGAACACACCAAAATATTCCCTCATGTTTGTGATGACTGTGGGAAGGGCTTTTCAGGTATGTTGGAGTATTGCAAGCATTTAAGCTCTCATTTATCTGAAGGGATTTATTTGTGTCAGTACTGTGAATATTCAACAGGACAGATTGAAGACCTTAAAACCCATTTGGATTTCAGGCATTCGGCAGATTTACCTCATAAATGTACTGATTGCTTAATGAGGTTTGGAAATGAGAAGGATCTTCTAAGTCATCTTCAGATACATGAGACAGCTTGATTACCTTTCCCTGTAATCAGTTTGTTAGAACCCAAATTAATTTTCAGTCACTAAAATGTATTAAATACAGTTTTAACAGCACTTGTACAATTCCGATGTTTTTGTATCAACAAAGCATGTATAACAACTTGGTGTTAATGAATTTCCTTACCTAGAGCTTCGTTAGGAATGATCACATTTACATGTGATGGGTCATATTCAGGGGGAGGGACAGTGGGAGTAGTTGCATGTTATAGCGGTTCCGATGCTCACCCTGTACTCTCACATTCAACGTACAAGACCAGCACTTTAGAGGTTTAAAAGGGACAAAGAAAAGGCCAACATCTAGGTCCATGCTTAAACAATGCACTGACCTCAATTGTGTATCCTACTCATTTTACCCCCTGCAGCAGCAGGTCACTGAGCTCATTTAGGAAGTTTCATCAACCTGCCAAAGATAAGTGTGTTCCAAAACTTCCCAGGCATGCAAGTCTCCACATGTCAGCCTGCATTTACCACCCTGTACTCCTGATAAGCTTCTAAAAGTGACCTGTTTTTCTCTTGGGGTACCTGTCCTATCTCATCATTTGCTTTGTCTTCGTTCAATGTTCTGTTTTAGCTCCTGCCTGTGGAACCAACCAACAATGCTTTCATCCACACATTACTACAGACCTCTCACATCATTTCTATCTCCTTTATTTACCTTCAGTTCCCATGTTTCTCTTGATGCAACCCTTCCCAGAGTAGGGGGATTGAAACTAGATGGTCTTTAAGGTCCTTTTCAACCCAGGCCACTGATTCTATGCAATCCTGACAGGTGTTGCTTGTGTGTAGACTGGGTCATGTTCTAAAGAGCCAATTGTAAGGGAATTTGTGAAATGTTCCAGATGAGAATGTCTAAAGAGCATGATTTTCATAATCTAGTTCTCACTGAAATGTCACCAACCTCATTTGGAGAAAGCTTCTATAAATGAGTTTATAATTACATAATTATAATTTTGTAGACTAAAAATTAGCTTTCCAGCAATAGTAATTTGATGAAAGTTATTCTAAATCTGTAAATTTTAAACTATGTACTGCTTTAAAACACTGGTATGGTATAAAAGTTTATTTAATCACTTTCAAATGATATAACACAGCTGTTCTGATTAGATAGTGCTGTTCAGGCATTACTGGCTTCATAAGTGAATTTTTAAGCTTCATTCCGTAGCTGTATTTCTGAGTGACTGATAGTTGGACAGATAATAAGGGTGAGGTCATTTAGATTGTGCTAGTTATCAGAGTGAAATAACCCATAAAATAGTGGTGGAGTTTACATTTCTGTATCACTTGTAAATTTGTAATGTAAGATTGTCTAATGCAAGATTTGTAGAGATATAATTAATGTATAAAACATTTCTTGATTGGTGAGATTTGGTGTTACCAGCTTCCGGGTGTGCAAGGGCTTTCACACTGAATTTTCAAAGCTATAAATATTGGCTATATAGTCAGTTAATGGAAGACCTGATTTATAGAGAAGTATTTCTAGAAATTCTGGAAACTAGACACTTCTTGCTTTGTAAGAGTAAGACCACTTTCATCATTTTGAAATGCTGATTTAGTACCAAATCTTACGTGTCATTGTTGAAAAGGACAACTTGACTGTATCCTAACTGTATTTTAGTTCATTGTATAGAGAATGACACTGTCTGTAGTAGAATTGCTAATTTCCTATTTTAAGCTCATTCATCATGGCTGGCTTAATATGGTAGCAATAATATAGTTAACAAAATACTAATGAGAATTATATATGGAAGGTTAATTTTGCTCATACGGGGATAAAGGGCTGGGGAATGCTGGTTCTTCTGTTAAGAGTCCAGGGGGAAAGACATTTCTTCATCCTTTTTTTTTTTTTTTTTTTTTTTTTTTTTTTTTTTTTTAAATGTATGTGTTTGCGCAGATCAGCATAGTGACCTGTGCAGGAAAACTGCATTTTCCTCATTGAAGAGGCTCTTTTGTAAAGGTATGGAGCCTGTGACAGAAAACTTGTGTTTTGACTCCTCAGTAGTTTCATGTCAACTTTTAAGTTGTATTGATTTCTGGTCTCTAAAATGGGAATTAAAACATGCCATAAGCATGTTTTGAAACCAAACTCTTAACTTAAATGCACACCACAGTGTCTAGTAAGGAAATATATTCAAGTTTGACTTGGCATGGATTTTACAAATTAGGGACTAACATTAGGTTTGCTTATTTGATCTACCAGAAAGTAGATGGAAATTTATGTGGGCTGCTGGTCTCATTTTACTTAGGGAAGGCATGTTGATCCTAGTGAGGGCACTACATGGTAGCTGTGAATTAGAAAAGTTGGGCTTTTTCATTTGAAGTGTGCAGGTGGAAGGTCAGGCGTGGTGCATTGGGGTGAACTTGGAGCACGGGAGCACTGCCAGAGACAAAAGTCTTCTCTGAACCTTACGGCTTGAGCAGTTAGTCTCAGTCCTGGATTAGAGACATTAACTAGTAATCAGAAATATGTCAATACATGCTTTTCTTAGGGATGCTCAATAAGTGTGTCAAATTCATCAGTTTTTTATACAGATACCTGCAAGCTTCCTCTGCTTGAGTGGCAGCTAACTAAAAGCTATCCAAAATCACAGCACGGAAGTAATTTCTATTTGCTTTTTGCATTTGGGCCTTTGGGTTAGAAGTAGAAAGAGCATCTCAACTTCTGGGACCATTTTTGGTACTGAACAGGCGAAGTTCTTTACCTAGAAGATTCTGGGACCTTCAAAACTAAGATCCTACGAATTATTGCAGGAACTGAAATACAACGGATGAATAACTCTGATTCTCCACACTGCTTATTAAGTGTCACTGATTTTCATTGGTGTTTGTGGCTGTTCCTATTTTCCTGTGCTCTCTTATGGGGATGTATCGTGTATATATTTCCAGTGCTTGGACCTTGGGGAACAAATCTCGTGTTTGTCACTCTAGGTGGCAGCTGAGTGATTAAACCAGGGTGCTGACAGAAGGCAGGGCCCGCAGTCAGGGCTCCTTTCCTTTGCTTTGGATTCCTGCAGTGCTTGGCAGGGGACGGGGCTTGTAACTCGGGACACCTTTTGGGTACAAAAGTCCCAAACTGAGGCTGGCAAGGGGCAAGCAGCCAAACCTGAGTTCTGACCACAAAAATAAATAAATTAATTAAATGAAATACAAGGAAATGGAATAAAATGGAGAGGGAAAAAAGGGAGAAAAAAATCCTGTCAGCCACGAGGAGAGGGGCGAGGCCGCCCCCGCCCCCCATTTGCCCCGTCTCCATTTCGCGCCCAGCCGCCCCCCCGCCGCCCTGCCCCAAGATGGCGGCCGCAGCCCCTCACTAAACATGGCCGCCACGCCCCCACCGGCGGATCCGGGAGCGGGCGGAAGCGGAAGCGCTGCTCGCGCGCGGCCCTGTGGCGGCGGGGCGGGAGGCGGCGGCGGAGGAGCGGGGCCCCGCGGCCGTTGCCAGGTAACGGCGGGGCTGGGCCCGGGGCTGGGCCTAGGCCTGGGGCGGGCGGAGGCTGCGGCCTGCGGGCGGCCGGGAGGGCAGCGCCGTGCCGCGGGGTGACCCGTGGCTCCGGGACACGGCTCCGCGCGGCGGCTGCCCTTGTCGTGGCGGTGCCCGGGGGAAGGGCTCGGGCTCGTCACGGGGACGCCGTGAGGGAGAGGTCGGTGCCCCCCGGTGCGCTCCTCCGGTCGCGTCCTTACTTAATTTTTTTAAAAAAAAATTGTAATTAGCGGGGGAGAACACGCGTGGTTTCACGCTGACACGGGTGCTCCCGGGTGCCTGGTCACTTTGAGGTGACTTTCCCCGCAGGCACGCCATGGCAGAAGCCGCGGTGTCCCCGCTGAAGCACTTCGTGCTGGCGAAGAAGACCATCACTGCCATCTTCGACCAGCTGCTGGACTACGTCACCGAGGGAGCGACTTTCGTGGAAGGTTGGTTTCCATCCCCGACACGAGGACCTGTCTGTTGCCTTGAATTTGTTTTGCAGTAGTGCAGTGTGCATTACCGTACAGCACCACGTGCTGTTCAGGTAAATGTACACCTTCAGAAATCGTCTCATTTTTATTTTATGTTTTTATCTTGTGCTAGCAGCAGCACTTAGGATGGTTACATGTTATAAAATCTGTATTATGTGGTAGGTGCCTTCCACAAGGGTCAAAACTGAACCACCTCTGCATTTATAGCCTTCTTTCAGTTTCTTTTATATAGGAAAAAAGGACAAACAGGCACTCCCGTTGTTGAGTAGGAAGGTAGATCAACACAATACAGTGCAAAGAACCCACAGTTACACCTTCAAGTTTTAGCAATGTGGAGGTGCATGTGTTGCCACACAGATCTGGTTGCTCATGGCCCCAGTGAGCTTTGCAGTGAGAGGATGAGATTAGACTGTAGGTTCACCTGCAGCAATTTGTCATGTGCTGTGTGGACCTGTCAAATGATGGGGTCTAATATCAGATTCTGTAGAAGGGTTTTGTTCATTTTGTTTTACCACTATATAATAAAAACTTAGATCTTTCACATGTGAGGTGCTGATAATCTAGATCTTGTGTCCATAAGCATGTAATCTGTTTTTTTTTTTTTTTTTCTTCTTTCTATGTGCAGCAACATACAGGAACCCAGAGCTTGAACATATAGCAACAGAAGATGAACTAGCAAAAATACAGGCGTATAAAAAGAAGCTGGCAGTCATCGGTGAGGTGCTTTCACGGAGGCACATGAAAGTGGCATTTTTTGGCAGGTAATGAACAAAATTACCAGAACTTAATTTGATCTCTCTTCTCTTTCAGAGCTTAATGTTCTAATTCCAGTGCATATAACCTACAAATAAGTTCTTCATTACAGGATTATTGTTTGAAACATAATACATAAAAGCATGCTCACCCTTACCTAACTGCTGTCGTTGATGCCGTCTTGCGCCGTTTGTGTAACTGAATTATGTATGTCTTGTTACATGTTTTATTGATAAACTATTTAAAAAATTGTTTTTTTTTTTGTTTTTTTTTTTAATAGAGCTATTATTTGACTTAAGACAACGTGAGGTGGTTGTCTTTTACACATTTTTTTTTTTTTTACATGATGGCTTTGTTTGTTTACTGGACTATAGTTAACAACTTTATGTTTATGTTTATTGTAAGTACTGAAAACTAAACTTTGAGCTGTTTATGTTTCCACGTATAAGCAACTGAAGAAAAACAGTCTGTTAGAGAGACTTGCCTTGCTGCTTGTGTCATTGGTTTAACAGATCTGTGTGATCATCGTTAGGAATAATAGTAGCAGCGCGCTATATGGCTTACAGATAAATCTGAACATAATATGAATTTCTGCTGCCATGAATTACTGACTAGGAAAAGTTCTAGTTCAAAGTCCTTGCTGGTAGTATTACAAATGGAGTATCAGGTCTTTTGCATATTTAGGTAACAATTCCAAAGTTACAGATTTGTAATCTAACTTCAGTTCTAAAACTAAAAAAAAAAAATATAGCAATTAATTTTTTAAAAAAAACTTTTGGTCACTTTGGGATCATTTCAGCTGTATTTTTATTGTTTGTTGCAGAAAAAGAGGGAGTGAAAGAGAAAAGTTTCTGTTGCACCCCAGAATATGTTGCTACATACAAAGTTTTTGCCTCTTTTTTTTTTTTTTTTATAGAAGTGCTGTCAGGTTCTTGGACCCAAAGCACTGAAGCTTTATGTATCTCTGTTTGCTTTTAGTTGTGCTGTGTTTTGCTTTTCACTCGCATCATAGTGGAGAGGTTTGAAGTTTTCACTGAGTCTTAACGCTTCTCATAAATGTCTGTGTGCCACACATTGTGCAATTCTCTTCTTGCAAATTTTGGACAGTGTAGAAATAGGCCGAAAATCGGCCTTACTGAATGCAAAATCGTATGTTAGAGAGCAAAATCCTTCCAAGAGATTAAGGTTACAGTGCTTTCAAATGCTTTTATGTGACTGATTAGCCTGGTGTCTGTTAGCCCAGTTTGCTTCAGGAAATTTTTCTTTTTATTTTTTTTTCCCTGTGCTTAAATTTAACGTGTGGTTACTTCTATTTTCTGGAATATGACTCTTCATGTTCTAATTTTTAAAATTTTGTAATAGCATTGGAAAAAAATGTGTACAGTAGTGTTTGTACCCTTGCTTTTCTAAAAATGGTTCAGCTATTAAAAGAAAAACAATAAAAGGATCTGGGATAAATAAATTGGTTTTATCTCAGCCTTGACATTTCACAAAGTTAAAAGTTGAATGCGTTTACAAGTTGTGATGCTTGTTAAAAGATGCTTTTGCAAGTTCAGTGCAGGAAAGAGAGGATGAATGTAACCTTAACTCCCCCTCTGGCATTTTGAATACATTTGTAAGCTGTTGTACAGGGAGCACCGAAGTAGCTCCAGAAATGAATTACAGTCCACGCTTGCTTTGTACTGTTGTGTAAGAGTTAAGCCTCAAGTCTCTGTGGGTGAGGGGTAGGGGGTTAGAGCAAAGTAGGGCACTGCAGAGAACTTCAGGTTCTTGCGGAGCTGAGGAGTTGGCAAACAGTTCCATTTGGTCAGTAAGATTTTGGTTAATTTGCTTCTTTCCTTCTGAAGTAAGGACAAGACTCAGTTTCACGATTAAAAACAGCGTTTGCATTATAAGGGTTATAAGTGAGAAATAAATTTGCATTTTTATTTTTTGCACATTGCTTCACATCTTCCTTTGGAGATCTTCATTAGGCTGAGGTTATTGTCAGTTAAATGATCTGAGCTGTCCCTATTGGCTGTGATGAGACTTCCCAGGCAGTGATACTTTTGCACCACATCTAATGCTTGGTGGGCTATATCAGAAGCAGTGGTTTGTTCCTGAGTGGTACAGAACAAACATTTCCTGAAGGCTGTGGATGAAGTTACTGAGGTGGTAATGGCACAGGCATTTTAAGGAGTCACCCTAGAGCGTGGTACTTCTCTGCCCCTGTCATGCAACCTTTTCCTCATGTCCTCTGGCATCCCTGGAATTCCCTTAGCTTTGCTGTGAGAGGCATGTGGAATAGTTACCTGATCAAAACATGATCCTGCCCAAAATGCTCCGCAGATTTTTAGTCAGTCCTTTTTTGCAGGACTGCCAGTGCTGTCCCCCTGATGTGGGACAGGGTGCTGTGACTTAACAGTTGCTTTAAATTGGTCAAAGGCATCATTTTAGGCTAAATGCTTCTTCGCTTCTTCTGGTGCAGATTTTAGAAATGCCGTATGTAGATTCAGGTATGGCAGATACAGGCATGCTTCCCAGTACAGGTTGGGCTTGTTCAGCTGGTGTGAGTTATGCAAATGGCAATTTGCTTTCTTGCTTGGGTAGGCAGTGTTGGTATCAAGAAAGATTTTTGGAATTGCTATTCAGATGAACTTTTCCTGCACTTTCTACTATTTTCTGGCAAGCTGTGCTACTGGCTTGATGCCGAATCACTCCAAACAGCTAGCAAAATCTGGGTCTAACGTGGTTAAAGGGGGCACGTTCAGTTCAAAACAAAGGTGTGTTTAATGCTGCTGTACTGTGCTCAAAGTACTGCTATTTTCTTTCCCTCTAGAACAAGCAGTGGGAAGAGTTCGGTCATTAATGCTATGCTGTGGGATAAGGTGCTGCCCAGTGGGATCGGCCATACAACTAACTGCTTCCTCAGCGTGGAGGGGACTGATGGAGATAAGGCTTATCTTATGACAGAAGGATCCGACGAAAAAAAGAGTGTCAAGGTAGAGCTTTTGAATGACTTCTGTGAATGATTTTGAATTATTTCTGTACTTTTCATGGTATCCATTTCTCCAAAGACCTGTCTGTTAACAACAGTTAGAAGTCTAACTCATTACGTATTTTTAAGTTCTTATTCAGGAAGGAATAACTAATAAATGAAAATATTCTACTTCAAAATTTTTCCTGGATATTTCAAGGAAAATAACTAGCATGTGTCTCCTTGTGGCATAGCTTATTTTGAGAGATCTATTTTTACAGACTGACAGTAAGTTCTGTTACTTGCTGAAGATTAGGAACATTGCTCTCATTTGGCCTTACAGCGCTTACCTTATTTAATTGCTCATGTTAATGTGTTAAACCTCTGAGGCAAATTTGTGCCAACTCTCGGTATCGCAAATTCTAGCCCTGTAAGGAATACCACGTTGTGACTGCAGTGAAACTCCTGTTTGGTTTTCAAAGCACATCTCATTCTTTAGATGGCAGTGAGTCTGAAGAGGTTTAAAAAATAAATTAAAATTAACAAATATTCACCTGAAGTACGAACTCTGTTACTATATATGACAGATTTGCTTGAGAACCAAATTCGGGTTGTTTACAGACATGTTTGTGGTGCGTATTGCATGTGTGTCTTCTTTCTTTATGCTCTTTATAGACAGTCAATCAGCTTGCTCATGCACTTCACATGGATAAAGATTTGAAAGCTGGCTGTCTTGTCCATGTCTTTTGGCCCAAGTCGAAGTGTGCCCTGCTGAGAGACGATTTGGTTTTAGTGGACAGGTATGTTCTCTGTTTTAATAAAGACTTTCTCAAATAAATAAACCACTGTAATATTTATAAAAGAGGTTTACTGTTTGCTTGTGGTATGGCTACTGGGCTGCAAGATTATTGAGAGGCTTTTTTTTTATATCAGTAGTACAGAGTTTGTTCTTCTGTATATAGTGCTGCCTGTCATCGCTCCAGTGATGTTGGCCTTGCAGCAGTTGGAACACACAGGTGTCTTGTGATCAGCTGTATAAAGGACTAGCTTTTGGCTGAGTCCACTGCCACTTTTAAAACAAACACTATGGGAGCATGCATAGGGTTGTTGCAGCAACTATAAACCTTCTGCGCATTCCCGGTCCTTAAGTGCTTCAGACTGATCACATGAAGTGTGAGCGGTCTGGACTTCATATCTTAAAGCTTCTTTTAAGAGTTGCAGTACCTGCATACCACAGTAATGAGTGCCTGCAAAACAGAATTGCTGTAGTTGGTTCTGTGTGTCCACGTGTTGGGATTGTGTTTCCCGTTGTTTGTGTATAAAAGAATCCTGAAAGATTTAGTTTATCTGTGTCAAATGTCAGTATTCCAGGCCTCTTTGAGCTATGAACTGGTAATAATAATAATAATAATAATAATAATAATAATTTCAAACTGCCAGGTGGTCTATACCTAGTATGTGAATGTAATAGATTTTATTCTTGAGTGAACTTGTAAGCAGTGCTTTTTGTTGCATCTCTAATCTTGCACCGTTGAAATCACTGGAAGTTGTCCATGTTTCTGGGGTACAAACTCAGATCTCATGTCAGTACTAACGCCAGCCTGGCTGGCAAAGGCTGGTGCTGCTTTGTTTGACATACTGATGGACCTCTGAGCTTATGCAGTTGTGCTGTTTCCCTGGGGACATCTGCATAGCAGAGGTGTGCTGGAAGCCCAGAAGTGATCCTTGCCTGGGTATGATACTAGATGTGATTTAATCTGCACAGTCTTGGTTGCTAAAGGTGAAATCTTAAAAGACAAGAAAGCAGCCTGAAATCTAAGAACAGGTACTTGTAAGAAGAAAATCACCTTTTAAATAAAACAAATTTGAACCAGGAATAATTGAGCTGTTGCCAACAGGACGTGATCATCTTCCACTTAGTCCTGAAAAACTGACAGCATTATAGTCCTAATTTCATTTTAATTGTCACTATATTATGCAAGCTGTGCATAGATCTATTAATTTAATTAGGCTTTTATTAATGGAAAAAAAACTAATGAACAACTGTCCTTTTTGATTACAACCTAAACATGGGATATGGGGAGGAAGACCATTCTGTGAGACTGCCTAGATTTCTGACAGACTGCCTGTTACTTTTTTAGCTATTATGATCTGCACGTTTATTCATTAAACTGTATCTTGTAATGAGTAGATGGTCTAATGAGTGATATGCTAAATGGTAATGAACTTTTTATTTCTTTGCCTTAAGCTTGAGTTAAGCATTAGACTATAGATATAAAAATTCATGACTTACAATAAGGTTCTTAGGCAATCCCAATCTATTTTCATCAGTTTCTAAAAATGAATTGCTCCTTTGCTGAATAAATACAAGTTCGTGGTCTCAATTTTCAACAGCCCTGGCACAGACGTCACTACAGAGCTCGACAGTTGGATTGACAAATTCTGCTTGGATGCTGATGTGTTTGTCTTGGTTGCCAATTCTGAATCGACTCTCATGAACACGGTATGGCGTGCAATGGTTTTACATTAGTGTTTTGTTTAAATATTCAGCAATTCCACAACTGGAAGGCTGCCATTAGTCCTTTACAGAAGCTCCATGAAGCGCTGCAGGTAGATCGCGTGAATAGGATGTGGGGTGTGAGGCAGGAAACGTGTGTCCCTCCTTAGGGAAAAGAGAACCTGGTTTTTACCAGCTTTGCTTACACTGACTTGAGCATGAAATTTGTCCTTTCGGTTTCCCTTTTGATAAATGCCTGTAGCACTTCTCTTGTTTTCCAGTTTGTCCATATTTCTCAGCCAAAGACATTTGTATTATCAAATACATCAGTTACAAAGGATTTCACATACAGAAGTTCATGAATATACATGAAGTAGGTTAAGGAAATTTTTCTTGTTCCTTGCGTTCTTGCCTCGGAAGAGGGTAAATTCCCTTAATGTACCTTGTGTTGAGGACAAATGCTACAGGTTGCCCTTGTAGGACTTTGTGCTTTTTCGTATGAAGATGCTAGCCATAAGCAGTCATGTTGCATGGAATAGCTGAAGATGTTTTAACACCTTTATTTTATAAAGCCCTGTCTCAAGAGAAAGAGAGAACCTCCGTACACCTTGCAGCCTGAATATTATATGACTTGTAGAAAGAGAGCATATAAGGTGGCCAAGTAAGCTGTTCTGATATTCAAAACGTGCCCAGAGATTTGCTTTAATTTTATAGTGATCTCCAGTTTTGACTAAACTTCTATAAGTATTATGAATGCACACAATTTCAATATAAGGTTTCTGTGTTATTGGTTTCTGTGTTAATAGTGTGCCTGCCAAGATGTTGCGCAACACTATTGGGAAATCTTGGAGATTTTTATTAAGCTTCCTGTAGACAAATAAAATGCTCATCGTTGTTCTGAGGATAGTTCTGACATTTAGTGTTCGAGCTTTCTAATTGAGGAAGTTTTAATGCAATAAGGATCTGAATATGCAGACAGTGTTTCCTTGCGTTGAGTAGAAATTCGAGAAGGTGAGTTTAAAGACAACCAGTTCTGTTTTCTGATCTGAATCCACAAAGACTTAAATATGAAAGAGATCTGACTTAAAAGAAAAAAAAGAGAATTTTGGTAATAGTCAAGGCAAAGACAGGGTTTGGCACAACTGCAGCTGTATCTTTTCTGTTATGCCACACAAAGGGCACTTTTTGGCCTATAGTCTTGCAATTTCTTTGAAGCATAAAACTCTTTATTTATTTATTTTTACAACTGTCATGCCTCTAAGCCCTCATTTAATACTGAGCACCTTGTTACCATTAGAATCTAGAGGTGACTGGTATCCAGGGTGCATATTGGAGGGGAAGGGAGTAGATTCTAGTTGTGGTTGTGGGGCCTTGACTTGAGCAAACAAATTTTTTTCTCCTTTTTTTAAATTTTCATTTTTCAGCTTAGTAGACACAAAGTTGCCTTTAACAGTTGTATAACTGCTCTAAAGCATTTGCATTTTGCTTTGCATTGTGGCAAATGCTAATTTCTTTCTTTGCCTACACAAGTTTATCCTTCAGGTTAAACATATGGTAATTACGTTCTCATCCTGCTTAGGCATTATTTTTACCTTTTGCTGTAACTGGTTTGAGAATATTTGGCAGCTGCTATACAGCCAGACGTTCTCTGCATAAACACAATTTTTATGATAGTCCCTCATAAATTTTCATTAAACTAAGTTCTCATTTCTGCATCAGTAATCTTGTTTCACATACTTACTCCCCAAATGATGGAGACTTAATGTATCTCCAGCACAGTGTCCCGAATATCTGATGGTGACCTGCTGCAGGTTCAAAAAGCTTGTAACAGCAGAGATCTTTTCTGCTAGAGCTGTGCTGACTGGGGATTCACTCCATCGTGGTTTTTACCCATTATGTCTGCAGCAAATAGCACTGATGGGTGGTAGGTACAAGAAAGGGACCTAAATTATGTTTTCAAGCACGTGCTTGTTTTCTTGCTGAATGTTCCCTCTTAAAAATGGCTTTTCCCTGTGGCTCAAGCCATAAGATGCAATTCAAACAGGAAATGTAACTAACCTGTAGTTCAAGCTAATATTTTCTTCAACCTGATTATAATTAGAGATGACAAATATAATATAGTTCATAGGTGTAGAAACGAAATTTGGTGGGTTCGAGAAGAACTTGTTGGTAGCAAATACAGAAAAGGAAGACATCAGTTTTAGCCAGGCATCTTGCTTTAAAAAAAAAAAAAAAAAAAAAAGGAAATACAGTAATGTTTTGTGTGCTCCTTCCCTTTCTCTTCCCCAACAAATATTGTGAGTGTATCACACAATTGCTAACAAATTTAATAGAAAGCTATAAGAATTGAAGGAGATAAAGTTTTGTAAGAGTGAAAGCAGAAGGAAAAAAACAAAAGAGCAAATGATGTGACAGATTTATAGAAGAATAGATTTTTTTTTTTTTGTTTCAGTGTTTTCTAAAATACTTGTTTTAGAAATTTTATTAATTGTACCTACTTTTAGAGAAATTAACGGCAGCTAATTGATGTCAATTCTTAGCATTGGCTTCAGTTTTAGGATACTTAATGACTTTTGAACTAACACAGGCCTTTTTTGTACTGATTATCTGTGGGTTTTAATGCTAATGAGGTATTTTTAATATGAATCTCTAAAAAAATCTTGTTTATATTCAGAATCTGTTACAGAAAAATGCATGGCTGTTTTGGATGTTTGGGAAGTTTTCTGTTTGTGTTTTAATTCTTAGGAAAAGCATTTTTTCCATAAAGTGAACGAACGGCTTTCTAAACCAAACATCTTCATCCTGAATAATAGATGGGATGCCTCTGCATCAGAACCAGAATATATGGAAGATGTAAGTGACTTGATGGCTCTTATTTGGAATTATTTTTGTATATTAAAAAAAAAAAAAAAGACCTGCACATGCATGAAGCATGCTAAATTGCTTCAGTGATACAGGTCTTAAAATGAAAACACCAGCTTTGTGTTATAGTAGCAGGATAAGTTATTAGATCGGTAAATGGAAATAACTTGCTGGTCCAATTCAAACTGCAGCATGTGCACACAGGTAACACAATGGGAATCTTGCTTAGAACCTTTGTTTTCCACAGTAAGCTTTGTTTTAAAAAAAAAAAAATCTTCTTTGTATTGCCGTTTAGTTTTGTAATGGTGGTGCAGCTCTGCAGTATTGATTTGACAGTGGCTCAATTTTTGCCTTTTTCTCATGAGCTTTTTTACCTTTTCCTCAGGTGCGCAGGCAGCACATGGAGCGCTGCCTGACTTTTCTAGTTGATGAGCTCAAAGTTATTGATCCTGTAGAAGCAAGGAATCGCATCTTTTTTGTTTCAGCAAAAGAAGTTCTCAGTGCCAGGAGACAGAAGGCCCAAGGGATGCCAGAGGGTGGTATGTAGGAACTCTTGCTTTTCCTCAAATACAAAAAAAATCATAAAACCCGATAAATATTTAAGATACAGTCATTGTTATGCTGTATTGTTTTGTTTCACAGGTGGAGCGCTTGCTGAAGGATTTCAAACCAGATTCCAGGAATTTCAAAATTTTGAGCAGATATTTGAGGTATTTATGATGGGCACTTTAGACTACCTCTTTTATTGATGCAAAGGTAACTTCTGTTTATGCTTAGCTTAATTTTACTGAACGTTACCGGTGTGAACAAGTGTTGGAGTGTCAGGTATTGAAACTGTGTGACAGCTTCGCTTTATCTTTCATCTCTGTTCATGTGTTTTCACTTCAAATAGCAGGTTAAAAAGAAGTATTGTTTAGTGAGAGAAGGGATCAAAACTGTCCTTTAAGCTCCTGTTTAGAAATCTCAATACCAATATAGTCTAAAAGATACAAGAAGAGACTGTGCTCTTAATGGCTTATGGCCAGTAGCTGACAGAAGTTTTTGCTGCTCAGTAAGCCTTATTCTATTCTGAATTTGTTGCTGTGTAATTAATTACTGTAATTCAGGACTCGAACAGTGTAACGTATTGTGTTTCACTGACGTAAAACTAAATATTTACTTGCATTTTTAAAGCCAGAGTTTTAAAATTATCATCATTATCTATCTCTTAGTGCTGATACTCTGAACACTAACACTGTTTGTGCATCCTCGTTGCTGTACAGAATCCATCCTTCACCCTCAGTTTAGCCGCATTCATAGCTGGAGTTTACACTTGCTTCGGAAGTAGGTCTCACCAAATGATGTTGATTTCCGTGTGATAAATTTAATTCGTTTTGCAGAATGTGGTAACTCTGAAGCTATTCTTGGTTATCTTAAGGTGGCATCTTGGATGTGCCTCGATTGTTCTGGGGGGGTGTGTTGGCACATCTCATGCAACACAAGCTTGAAAAGTATGACTGCAGTTTCTATCCAGCAAATGCTAGAGGCTGCTCTTGCATGCCTCAATCAGTAATTTCTTGTTCTGTATATTTAAAAATCCAATTACCTTTAAAAAATTTTTTTCTTTCATTACAAGCAAGCACATTTGACCTTAGTAAAACTTGCAAAAAGGAAGAAAATGTCAGACTGAAGTTTACATTCAGTCCTTATCCATGCTCTTGTAGTAGATGACTGAGTTGTTGAAATGATAAGTTTAGAATACAGGCAGGGCACGAGTTCATGCGACATAAAATTTCTTGTTTTTGTAGTGCAACTACTCATTGTAGCCAAACTTGCATTTTTGTTTGCAGTTTTAGTCCCTAGAATTATAGTAGGAAACTTCAAATCAGTAGGAAAAAAGTGGAAATTAAGCTTATAACTCAATTACTGCCATGTATTTATGCACTTTTTTCTACAGTCTCTTACAGTTATGTGGGCAGTTTCCTACGTTACAATGGCATTTCATTTGTAAGCAAGGCTGATACCGAAGTGGTTTACCAACTCTGAAATCTTCAGATCTAACTCTCAAATTACTGGCACTTTAGCTGATAAAGTCACTGATAACAAAAATGTGCTGATGTTTACCAGCACTAGGTCGTGTATTAACAGAAATGTTGTACGTCAGGTAGAATTTTCTGTGTTCAGTCTGGGAACAAAATTCTACTTGCTACCATGCTTAATGCATTGCTAGACAAAATTTTGATGGTGTTTATCTGTGAGTACAGCCTAAGCACTTCTCGCTAAAGCATTTTGGATTTACTTATATTTCCTGACAGAGGAGCTGCAGGTCCCAAGAATCGTGGATTACACTCCAGTCTGTGAAAGGGAAGGGGCGAGAGCAGGGATGCTTCTGTCTGTTCTTGCCAACAATTAACCTTCCCTGCCTCAGTCTGTCTTCCTTGCCCTTTGCTCCTTACCCCTGTTCGGGTGCCCTGCTCAGACTTCCCACGTCTCTTGCTCTCTTCCATCCAGGTCATATCTCTAAGCTGTCTCCTCACCTCATTTATGCACCTGTCTGCTTGTTCCCACTGACTGTATCTGCTGGGTTTGCTCCTGCTGGGTTTTCTCACCGTGATTTTTGTCTTCACTGAATTAAAAACTGGCCAGCTTCTTCCTCTTTTCCACGTATGCTGAGAGGGGGAACTGTTACTTCTCCAGTACTCCCAGATTCGGGATTTTAGTACCAGTTCCCCAGTGGGAAAACCTGTCCATCCCGAGACGGGTAGGAGCTTAGTATTGCTAGAATCTTAGAAAGTCTAGAAGCAACCTTTCAGTGCTAGCTTGCAATGATAATAGGAAAATTTCAACCATTTATGCTGTGGAATAATAGAAAGTAGTTTGTGTATATTTTTTTCTGAAATTTTACAATGAGATATGTAGAAATACCTTATCAGAATGACCAAAAAAACGTCTTGTAGCGTTCACTGTATGTAGTGGTCTATAGGGGATATTCTACATAAAAACAAAAGCCATTGTGCCTCAGGTTGTGGTGTTTGTCAAGTTGCTTCACAAACCTGCTAACAGAAATGGTTTGGGAAAGAGGGAGGCAGGGCAGAATAATTCCAGCTGTTATTCGGAGTCATTAGTGTGCTACTGCTGAATCCTTCCCTAACAACATATGGGATTATAGCAGGCTGTGCACTAAAAGTCTCTCTTGCTGTACTGGAAGTTGGCTGGAAGGTAGCTGGTTTTGATTATGCTATTGAAACATAGCTTCTATCTTTGTTTCAGTAAATGTTTATTTACAGACTATCAGCAAAAATGTTACTGTCCTCCTCTTACCTTTCCCAGTTGTATAATTAACCTCTGTGTTTTTCCTAGTGCTCTAACTTGGATTTTCTGGTTGTGTTGTGAGTGACTGTCATCCTTTTATCTACCACATACCAATGTTGGGAAGACTTTCCTCTGTGTCTAGTCTAGCTCTAACAATGTGCTGATATTTCTGAAACTCTGGCCTTTCATTGCTGATTTCTAGATCTGCTTCATCGAGGAACAGGGAATATATTTCACCCATTTTGTTTATTTTGCTTTGATCTATTATTTGTAGTTAGCTGAAATTTGTTTTTACAGCATATGCTAAGGTCATAGGCAAATCTTTACAAAGCAGCTTAAATGCTCCGAAAGGTGCATCCACAGATAAAGAGCAATTAACAAACAAAAACATCACCACCACCAAGAAAAAAACAGATCTGATGCAAAGAAACTAGGTGCTTGCTTTCCTTCTCCTAATACAGAAGATGCTGCTCTTTTGTGCCCTACGGCAGCTTGAGCTGCAGTTGCTTTAAAAAATCTAAGTCTTAATTTACAGTTTGCAACAATTGATTTGCTTCTGCCCAGGTTGAACATTTGCATATCTTTTCAGTCGGTGTTCTTTAACTGTTCCTGTACAATATTGGAGGTTGCAGATTCATCAGAAGCTCTCACTTCAGAGCATTCTCTGCTGATGTGCTTAACACGTCAGTAATCTCCAAAGGAGCTAATATTTTAAGGACTACTTAGCAACTTTTCTGTCTTGTGAGATAATCTTTGTTTCCTATTCCTAATTGTGTATTTTTGCCTGGAGAGTCAGTGTGACATGAGCATGTAAAATTTGTGTTGACACCGAAATGAAGCTGGAAGCTAAGAGTATTTATTGAAAAAAAAAAACACACAAAAAAAACAAATAAATAAACCACAAGCTAGGCAATATTGCCAGCATTCATGTTAGAGATTCATAACTCTAAAGGGATAGCTTGGAAAATTTTCAGAAGAGCTAGCTTTATTTTATGTAGACATCTGAGTTTGCTTTTTCTGTTTCCATTATTTATTTATTTTAAACAAAAAACCTATGCACATTACTGTGAATGAACATGGAGGTACAGATTTGCTGCTGTAGATTAATTTGAGATTTCAGTTCTGTTCTCTTTTGATTTCTATACACTTTCTCTCTTTTTATTTCCCATGGGTTTAAGTTCATGGTAGTAGCAGCAAGTGCTTTCTGACAGAGAAATTCCAGAAAGTGTTGGTATGGAATTGCAGTAATGTGTTGTGGCTTGGGCCCCTCGCAGGAGTGTATCTCGCAGTCAGCCGTGAAAACCAAGTTTGAACAGCACACTATCAGAGCTAAACAGATAATAGATACTGTGAAAAACATTATGGACGCCATAAACGTAGCAGCAGCAGAGAAAAGGTAGGTGGGCTGGAGGGCTGGTTGGTTGTGGTTTCTCCAGATCCTCTGAGGAGCCATGTCTATGCTGGTGGTTTCCTTGGGCCATTATGGACTGTAAAAATCACTTATCTCTGTTGGTAAGAAATAAAGAACTTCTCTGGCCTGTCAGTCACACTCCTGTTCACCTGTGTCTGGGACTTCTGTATAGGGCTCTTGGTTTACTTTGTTATTCCTTGTTAATGATTTGCAGTCTGGGGGTTTTCTGATCTTTTTTCAAAATTATTTGAAATTGCAAGGTTTTTCTAGTTGTATCCAGCATCTCAGCAGTGGTGTTTGGGCCTGCATAGGGAAGGCTAATTATTAAAGGCCCTTTTTTCTCCTCCCTCTATATTTAGTTGTAATTATGTACAAAGGTATACACAGAAGGTGTACAAAAACAGAAGGTGTACAAAAGTATTCCAACTCCAAATGCTGCTTTTTAAGATGTATCAAAACCCAGCCATTGGCATCACATTCAATCAATGTAGCCTTTAAATGCGCCTGTAAACTTAATGCCTAAATTTCAGTCGTTCTGAAATAGTGTCTTTGCTTTGCTCAGCCACTGTCACTTTGGATTCTCTTTGGCTGTCAGTAAACCATAAGCTAGATGGTTCATGCCTGATGGTACATGCTTGTTTCATTTTGGGGAGAATACCTGCTGGTGATGGTGATTTCCTTTCTGCTCTGTTAAGAGTCCACTCAATGGAAGAGCGAGAAGATCAGAAGGATCGGTTGGACTTTGTTCGAAATCAGCTGAACATTTTGACAGAAGATACTAAGGAAAAAATCAAGCGTGTAACTGAGGAAGTAGAAAATAAAGTAAGTAATGCAAAGAGGACAGTTTTCTAGTCAAGCAAAGAAGAGATTTGTTTCCCTTCTTTAAATTCTAGCTTACTTGGTAGGAAACCTGTTTGATCAGGTGACTTTGTTTCCTTAAGAGGGAGTGAATTATATCCAGTCTTCTACTAACACTAATCAGATCTGTAGCACGTACTTTTTCAAAAGAAAGAAAAGGAAAATGACGGTCCTTCCTGAATGTCAGGTAATTGGGTTGTTTTTTTTCACTCTGGCTGGAAAAAGTAGGAGAAACACTATTGTTTTGTCTTTCAGGTCTCCTCTGCCATGACCGATGAGATCTGCAGACTTTCAGTTTTAGTTGATGAATTTTATTCAGATTTTCACCCTTCTCCTCAAGTGTTGAAGCTCTATAAGACAGTAAGTTCTCTTGCACGGCTTGAAGCCAGGCTCTTTGTCTGTCTTACAATTTTTACTTCTGTATTTTCATAATTTGCATATAATTTTATGTGATGCTTCATTTAAGCACTACATAATTTTTGCTTTGTGACATGCATATTTGTTTTTTAAAGCCACAAAAAGTTGAAAATATTTTCTGCTTTGTCTGTAGAAAGATTTTTTTCAACCGTCTTTTTACTAGAGTTGTTATTGAAACTAATTCACTGAAATACTGATTTTGTCTTCACTTGTATTAAATTAAAACCTTACATAAGCAATTTTCACCACTCCTAAAATGAAATAGAACAAAAAATAAAAGGAGTTTGCAAATACCTGAAGTTTTATATTTTTTTTCAAAAAGCTTTGTAAAAAGAAAAAAAACCACAAGTTTTCATTAAATATTAATTTAAAATTTCCTGCTCAAACTTAGTATTTTAAAAGAGCATCCACCTGTAAGGTTAATCTTTTGCTCAGCTTTTGCTGCCAATGAATGTCATAACTCCCACCTGTTTCAACCTTGTTGATCCCATGGGAATGCTGTTTCTAAGGTGGTCTGCCCTGTCCTGGCTCTGCAAAATGCGCGGAGCAGACCTTCGTAGCTGTTGGTGGCATTGGCTTATCTCTGTGTAGACCAGTGAAATCGCCTCCTATCAAACGATGACAGGAAATGATCTGACCTGTGGTGGTGGTGTGCTCTTCATTTCTGTTGAAAAAGCAGGCTTTTCCATAGGCCTTTTAATGATTACAGGCCTGGAGAAATCCTCTTTGTGTCACTTTAATTAGATTTTCAGTCACAGTGTGCTATTTAAAAGTAGGGCATTTTCATGGTAACCTGCTTTTCTTGCCACTGCAAATAATAGCATTAGTGTTTAACATGTTTCTGAACTGTATAATGCCACTGATGAGCTAAATAGAAATTGATGAGCATATGTTCTTTCTGAAACTTCAGGAACTCAACAAGCATATAGAAGATGGTTTGGGAAAGAACCTGGCTGATCGTTGCTCCAGTGAAGTCAACCAGTCAATGCATCAGTCACAGCAGGAGATGATTGGTAATATGAGGAAGACAAAATGTTGACTTCTTGTTTAGAGGAAGACAATTTAAGAAAATGTGCTTTAAAAAAATCTTTATGATCATGATTTAACGTTAACACTAAAAAATGCTAAAGGAAAAGCCATCCTAGATGAAGACTGTGTATTTAGCTCAGTACCTTGTCTCTGGTATTAACCAGCACAGCTGCTTGGGGAGAAAAATAATGAGCCAGGGTAAATAGAGTGATCTGTCCCCAGCTGAGGGAGTTCTGAACCGGAATACTTCATCTGAATGAAGGGTTTAAGCACGTAATAATAAACCTGTCCTCTGGGAACTTGCCAAATCCTCATGTAAACCCATTTATACTTGTGGCTTCCACAACAGATTTATGAAATACGCTAATTAACAGATAATGTTTTTATAATGTTTTTACAACACAGTCTTCTCTCTGGGTCCCTCCAGATTCTGAGTACAAAACAAGGGTAGTTTCACAAAACCTTTGTGGTACAGTCCTATATTTGGCACTCTGTGTTTCTGAGGTGTTGAGTTTGTTTTGGTAATAACTTTATTGCGTATCCAGTTCTGCTCTGATCTGTTTCCGGTAATAAAAGATTCAGAGCAAGATCATTTAATTACATGATGCCTTCTTACTCAATAACAATTACACGAAGCCATCTTACTCCATAGCAGTGACTTTTCTGTATGGTGCCACCAACAGGCTTAGTCCATCCTTACCTTTTGACCAGAGTTAGAGGTTTTTTAGTTAATTTGTCTATTTTTTTTTCCTGTGGTGCTTCCTCTACACGTTGATTTTATGTGTCTGTTTTATCAGAGCAATAAACTGCCTGCTCTGTGAGGATCAAGACTGCTAAAATGTCCACTGATTATTTTATCCTTATTGTTTTGTTTTGTTTTAAAAGTCAGTTTAGATTCTTGGTACTTCACAAAGTTAGTCAGCAGTAAAAGCATTTAACTTCTGAATATGCTGAAGCTTTCAATGTTAACTCATCTTTACTATTCTATTTTATTTTTAGAAAATCTGAAACCGTTGTTGCCTTCTGGTGCTCAGAATCAGCTCCACTTGCTAATTCCATGCAGGAGGTTTGACCTTAGCTATGACCTAAATTGTCATAGTCTTTGTGCGGATTTCCAAGAGGATATCATGTTCCACTTCTCCTTGGGATGGACTTCACTTGTAAACCGTTTCTTGGGTCCTAAACATGCTCAGAGAGTACTACTGGGACTGGCAGATCCAAACTTACCAGTGAGTGTTTCAAAGACTAGGCTGACAAGTGCCTTGTTTTACTTTATTGAGGTTATATTGATTTTTATTTTTTATAACTTTATTAACTTCTGCTGTTTACCTGCTTGTTGCTACTTTCCCTTAGCCCTGTTGTGTGAAATACTTTTGGTGAGGGTTGTTTTTATTTGATTATATTCAGGGTTAAAAGGGAACAAAAAACCTTTCCTAAACTTCCTGCAGCTGTTAACCGAGTTCTGTTTTGCTTTGGATTGAACCCTCTGGTTAGCCTTTTTATTTGTAACTTGGGCATTCTAACAGCAGAGCCAGAGTCCAGGACAAAAATAGTATTCCAACCTGGTCCCCATTTGGCAAGGAACTCTCAGAACCTCTTCTGCTTATCAGGAGCAGACTTCTGTGCTGAAAAGTTCCCTTTAAATGAATCAAATCCTGAATATATGAAAACAAAATAAAAACAATCTGCTGTGTAGTCCCGTGATGCTTTTTATTCAGGCTGCTGTATTCCACTCTTCTAGATCCCTCGTCCTTTAGCTACCACACCGTCTGCTGCCAGCCTTCCTGCCCTAACTCCAGAGAACACACCACAGGATGATTTTATGGTTCCCTTGGTAATGAGTTTAGCTTCGCTGACATCACGGACCTCTATGAGCATCATCGTTGTTGGCGGAGTGGCAAGTAGTCTTAGTACCATTCACTGTCCTGGGAGTGATGGCAAAGATGAGGCCATTCTCTGCTGTGTGGGGTTTTGTAGCGTGCAGCATGGAATGGCATATTGACAGCTGGGCCAGATGTGTACACTGGGTATGAGGAATCACTTTGTAGTGAGAAAATTGCTCTAATTACTCTGAGCATAGTTGGACACGTGCTGTATTCTATCTCTCTATGTTGGATGATTTGATGGTGCCTTATATAGTTTGGAATTGGTGGGAGCTTTATTTTCTCCGTCCTCCTTCATTAGAAAGCAGCAAGGCTTCTGTGAGGCCCCGTGTCAACAGGGTGTCAGCTTATCTGGGTATATCTGTATTGCTCTACAGCAATACATTTCCCAAACTAATCTGGTGAAAGGGCCGTGCAGATGACATAAAAACGGGTGGAATTCGATTTCTTTATAGTCCTGATACTGATTGCACTCTATAGGGCAACTCTTACATTAATGAGTCTTCTTTTCCAGATCTGGAGAACAGTAGGCTGGAAGCTCATCTCTCTTTCCCTGAGTATGTATGGGTTGTTGTATCTCTATGAGAGGCTAACCTGGACCACTAAAGCGAAAGAGAGAGCCTTCAAGCAGCAGTTTGTGAACTACGCTACCGAAAAGCTGCAGATGATCGTCAGTCTTACGAGTGCCAACTGCAGCCATCAGGTGCAACAGTGAGTATGAGAGCGGCGCTGCCAGGCACCCAGGGAAACGTTGGGTTGGCCAGGGGTGGGCACCGGCTGTGCGTGGTGTGGGGAGGCAGCAGAATGCCCATGCAGCTTTAGGGTCCCTTGGCGTTTATCTTGAGGGACACCCACAATGTTGTTGGGAGGGGGTTTCTAAAGTGTGAAGTTAATGCCTGGAAAGGGTAGTGCATGCCTCTTCGTGTGTATGTTTGCATGTGAGAATCAGTCTTAAACTCTGTGCAGTACTTCACTGCAAAGACATGGGACTTAGCTCGGTTCCAGCAGAGGCTGAATTTGTCTGCTTTGAGATGAGCATTGAATCACTTCAGACCGTGAGCCCGGAGTTGGTTTAATTGTGAGCATTTGTTCTGTTTTCTGCCTCAAGTGTTGGTATGGCCAGGTTTTAAGCAGCTGGTCACAGTTCTTCTGCTCCGCAGAAAAGGAACTGAAGAGACGTGAGCTGTTCACAGTTTTTTGTGTCTTTGCCAAATGTTTTTCCACCTGTCTCTGCAGAGTAATGTTGGGTGACTGGCTCCTGCAGCCTGACCTGTTGAGTTTGTTTTGATTCAGTTGTTACTTCAGCAGAGTAGGCTGGCTAAATGAGACCTCTAACCAGCAGGGTGCAGAACACCTCTCCTGTGTAGCCCAGGCAATGCTTTACTAGCACAAAGCTCAGCTTCAGATGAGGAAAGAGAATCATCCCCGTGTCCAGCAGCATTGTGTCTCTGTGAGGACATGGACGAGCTGGACTCAAACCAAAGCTTCAGTGAGGTGAAGTAGAGATCAGAAGATTTGTCTGCTCTGTGGGAGAGCCTGCTTGCTGTCCTGCGGTGGTGTCAGTGTTCTGTTGTTGTTTTGTTTGTTCCTTTTGCTTGAGAAGGAGTCTTGGGACCTAGCTTGGGAACACAGGACCGAAGAGGCGAGTAGGACAGGATGTCTCTGCACGTCTGGGGCACTTCTCCTACTCACCTCGCCCTGCAAAGTGCTCATGTGCCCCTCGTGAGCAGAGCACTCAGTGTGGCACGGGCTGTGGCATGAGAGAGCACTTGGCTGCTCAGGCACGTGTTCCTGGCAGTCCCAGTCTCAGACTCAATACCTGTAGGTACTCAGTGAAAAATTGCCAGGCATGATGTTAGCATAGACTGAACATTACTATGTTCAAGGTTACTTTATAAATGTGAAAAGTACCTAATTCTCCTGATTTCTGCTGTTCTGTAATCTTCCTGGCAGCTGGAGACTTTGATTGCCGTGTTTAACACGCTGCAGTGCTGCCATTTATTGTGTATTATTTTTGTGGCAGGCATCTGTAAACTCTGACTACAAACTTATTTTTCCTTTAGGGAAATGGCAACTACTTTTGCCCGGCTCTGTCAGCAGGTGGATATTACCCAGAAAAACCTGGAAAAAGAAATCGATCGGCTTTCCAAAGAAATAGATCAGCTGGAGAACATCCAGAGCAGCTCCAAGCAACTACGGTAAGTCCGGGTGTGACCGGCCAGGAGCCAATTCCTAACCCTGCTGGTCGCTGTGAGGTTGGTGCTTGCTGTTACTTCAGGCTGAAAATGAGGTCATCACACGGGCAGAAGGGTTATGTTCCCTGTAGCCAGGTGGCTGAGCAAAGCTCCCAAAATCCTCTCTTAGTCAATCTTTACCTTACTGTGTTGTATGGGAGACAGCAGGAATGTGTCTTCCACGGGTAGAGCGCTGTGGCACCTTCCCCAGGAACCCTTCCCATAGGAGCAGCCACACTGCACCGAGCCATTCCGTTCAGTACCGTTTTTCTTTTATTACCAGCAGCAGGTGTTTACAGAGCAGAATTTCCAGCAGTGAGTGGTTCAGGGACTCAGGAGCAGCCTCTCTCTTAGTCTCATGTTTTCTCCCTGCTGTAACCTGCCCCTGCTGCGGGCTGCCCCTTGGAGCTCGGGCACTGACGAGCTCGATCAGATCAATGCCCAGCACTGCAAGAACAGCCTGAGGGGGTGGTGTGAGGAGCAGTGCTGAGCGCCTGCCTAACGCTGCAGAACCTCTCCTAAGTTAAATGCTGAGGGTGGGAAAGGTCCCGGTACCAGGGTGGTCCTGAGGAGACCTGGGGGAAGAAGCAACCCCCTGGCAGACAGCTGCTGGCCTTCCGCTGCCTGGCCTGGTGCTGCATTTGCAACATTCAGGGCTCTGACCAGGTTTTCTCAGCACTGTGGGTTTGCGAAATAGAAATCAAACACTTGATGTGTCTTGTGGTGGTGCTGCACTGAAGTCAATTCACTGCTTTTGTTTGTTTTACAGAAACAAAGCCATTCACCTTGAGAATGAACTAGATCGCTTTACAAAACACTTTCTTCAAAAGAGTAAATAAAATATCATTGGTAACTTTCCCGGTGATCCTTTGTAGGACAAAGTAGAAATTTTACAGATGACACTTCTCTGTGGAGTTGCATGAAATGATTATATTTTTAATGTTACTTTGATTACACTTAATAATTATAAAACTGGTTTTGAACTCTGATGGTGAACCAAACTTAAGAGCTGTGGGACTTAGAGTGTTATGTTTGTTTTTGCTGATTTTGGGTTAAGAATTATCCTTAAACACTAAATTTCTTTGGGCACTTGACGATAAAAACTCATATCCCTTTTGGTTTTCATTAATATTTAGCAGTGGCACTCACTTCCTGGCATCCAGGAGGAGTTTATGCAGGGAGAAAAGACTTAACACTGTTATCACCGTCTCCTGTTACCAGTTGACGAGGAATAGCCAGGGAGGAAGGATGCTGCTCTTTCACTTACGGTTGTTTTGTTTTTGTGTTCTATTGAAGGGAAGTACAAAGTCTAGCATGGGGAAAGGACTCTTGACTGTTCTAAAAGTGAGTGAAATTTTGTCGTGAAGCAGTTCCTCTTTGAATGGAAATGAAAGATGCTAAACTGTACAGCAGTCACTAATGAGATGCAGTGGCCTCCAGTTGCCCTGCTGGCTACTGCGTGTAGGTAAGGTGGCATTGATGAAGTTGGTGAAGGGGTGGAAGGGTCACTTGCCTCTGAGAGCACTACTGGAACCCGTGTGCAGGTGAGCTGCAGGTCAGTGGTGGCAGCACCATGCAGAGGTAGCGCAGCCAGGGGCGTGTTGGGCACAGCGCAGATGGAGGCTGCACTTGACAGTTTTTGCTCATGTGGGGTCCTGAACAGCTCCTTGGCGCTGCCATAGGGCAGAGGTCTTCGAGGTGAGACCTATGACAGGTACGTTTGAGTGGTTTTACCATTGCTCACCCCCAGCAGTGCAAAGCCTCTTAAAATTGCTGCTGCCATTGGCAATCACTTAACACCTTCATTTTTTCTAACCAGACTTTTTAAAAATAACTTATTTTGAAAGAGAAAGCCTTTTCAGAATATTTATATATTTTTATGGAAGTATTAATGTGACTAAATGAAATACTTGCAAATGAATAATAGCAATTCAAAACTAAGAGGTAGAGATTTGTTATTTTCCAGTAAAAAGGGCTATCCTAAAAGGAAATACATTTTAAAAGCTAATGCTAGAGAGGTAGGTTATTAGTAATTTGAAGACTAAGAGCACTGTTTCCACCATGATGTATTGTGGTGTGTGTTTTTGACTGTGCTAGCAGAAGCATGGCTGTTCTGAAACTGTCTTTAGCAGTATGCATGAAGTGTCTCAGGTTCTCTGAGGGAAATAATTGTGAAATATGAAAATGATTAACAGCCCAGCCCTCTTGTATATGAGGTTACACATATGTATTAATTCTCTTTTCTGGAGCATTTTTTTAACGGACATTGTATGAAGATAAAACTTTAAATGCATGTGTTCTATAATTATTTATTAAAAAAATATTGTCTCCCCTTTGCTTTAGTAAAATTATTTGACAGCTGTCGCAAATATGAAAATTCATGCCACTGTTCCCATGTGTACACTCTAGGACAAAACCTGTAACTTTTGAGGTTGAGTTTTATGTGTGTGTGTTTTTTTGTTTGTTTCCTCCAGCAGACTAGCAAGCTGTGCACTGTATTTGGGGTTTGGAGAAAGTAATTAGCGCTACAGACTTGACAAAATGCAGAACCGGGAAATGGCTGCTCCTTAAGAGAGCAGTGCTATGTAACACGAATGCTGATATTAAGAATAAGTGTTGTAAAGCCTAGTTTTTCCACTCCAGGACTGGTGGCTAACTTCCAGCTCCCTTTATTGTAGTATTTGCAGGCCCTTCAGTTTATTCAGCCTCTTTTTTAGGCTGAAAAAAAAAAAGCCACAGTCCTTTGAGGGGAAAAAAATCACCTTAATCATTTGTTCATAAGGGCAAATTACTTACTTGCATAACATTGTGCTGTTCAACATTCACATGTAACAGGCTCACCAAAAGTAAGAGCAGTTGATGTTGTTGCTCTCTCCACTTCAGAGCCACTGCCAGGATCTTGATTTTTAGGACAGGTGAGAATTGCCATTAAATAAAGCATTCGCCTGTGAGACGGTCTGGTTAAAAGCACTTGTTTATTGGTTACAATATCAACTCATGGCAACATCTTTCACTGAGCCACTGTACAAATACAAAGAAAAGATCCATTGTGGAAAAAAAAAAAGCTATAAACAGAGTTCATAGCAAGTGATTTTTTTTCACAGGGAAGTCTTTTTACAACAGCACTGTTAAAGAACAAATGGCACAAGTCCCTGGTTTTTTGAATAGCTTAAATAAAAGCTTTAAGACTGTTTCTGTATACATACACGATCCAAAGGCAGTGCAGAATCACTTCATAATTGGTAACATTACTGAAGTTTTCCAAAGTAGTCAGCAACAAGTAAAAAAAAACAAAAAAACAAAAAAACAAAACCTAGCTGATGAGAAATGCTGGAAACTAAAGGCAAATTAAAATCAAGCATGATTAGAAGCATTTTTTTTTCATTTTGGACTCCTTTGGATGTAATATGTACTACAAGTGTTCAGATGCTTTTATTTTTTAAGAGAAAAAAAGGAGAAAAACACAAATAGAGCACCATTGTGTAAGTAAAACAAAGGCTTGAAATATCTAAGACTATTCCACCGAAGTCCATATTAGTTAAACCTAAACATACTGTGTGGTATAAGAATGTCAGGCACATGTAATCTGTTATCAGTTATATCAATTAGTAACACTGTTCACACATTTACCATAACAACACTGCATTAACATTCTGCATGTATTTTACATAACCAGCAATTGGATAAAAAGGCTTGTGGTGCCTCTGAAGTGTAGGAAGTAGTTTACCAGCATGCATGCCAGATTACTGTATACAAAGTGCACCATCAACCCATGCTTAATTACTTTTACAGGAAATGCTATCTCAAAAATCAGTCATTCTGCTACACAACCATTTATACCAACTATTTGAATTAGCCAATACTTATTCTCACCAACATCTTAAAGCACAGCACTAAACCTAGTGGAGGTGACAGTGTCCTCAAAGAGGAAAGACTAAGCACGCCTGGAATGTTTTCACAATGTTTTCATTCCACCTTAAAGTAACGTGAACTTCATCGTGGGACACGCGGTTACACTAACTGAAGAGTTAACTAGTTCCAATCCATGCATTACAGTAAGCACACGAGGACCAGCTGGTACAGCGAGTCAGCTTTGCCAAGTCAAGGTCAGGCCCTCCTTAGGCTGGGGAAAAGCCTATCGAATCCACGTTCCATGTCAAATGGTCTATATCGGTGTCACCTTAGGAACTATCGGTTCTGCCAGATACCGTGCGTATCTGCAATTTAGCGAGGCAGATGATAGCAACGCTTGGAAGAAAAAAGGTCTGGAGACAGATGGAAACAGGCCCACATTACAGTAGTAAGTGAGTGTACATCAGCAAGATGCCATGTGTAAAAGCTTTCTGTGGTTTCCAGAATCTCAACCGGTAACATCCCACCAATAAATAGATGTCTGACTTACGTGACAACAAGCCCAAGTTGGGTGCGTGCCTAATTAGTATTCTCTGTTGCAAAGTTAAATCAACATTAGAATATGCCAACAAAAAATAACTGTACCTGAACAAAATCAATCCTGCTACACAAAGCACAGAGTTCCACTTCCAAGCCATAACCAATAGACTTAGATAGAAGAGAGGCTGGGAACAAGTTACTTTGCTACCAACTGTTTGGCACAATGGTCTCAGTCACTACATTTCTGTAATTACACAAGGTATTTGAAATCCAGATAATGATGCAGTTTGGCACCAAACTTTTACAGCCTAAGATGTACCCACAAGTGCTGCAAAATCTGTTGTACATCAAGTTCGCTGTCATGGCTGCGGTTAGAAATGGCACAAGCTGCACTCGTGAGCTTACGTTAAACTACAGGCATGTATATACCATCTTCTGTGAGATGCAAAGCTCAGAATTACATCTTTTAAGTAAAACCTACAAGGGGCCATTTTCTTAACTTCCTCACGTTAGAGGGAGTTTGAGCTTTTACCATTAAGCCACATCTATTTCAGGGAGTGCATCCACCTTACAAGTTCCCCAATGATAACCATTTAAAAACAGGAAATACCACAGCTTGTGCAAGGTCACTATTTGGCCTCATACAGTAACAGTGTGTTACACCAAGCCTGGAGGCTTTTTGTTTCAGTAAAGTTCTAAATGATGTAATTAAACAGCAAACATCACCTTGGCAGGATCTATCACAAGCGCTCTACAAGTTCCCAAGCAGCATCCCAGATCCCGTTTCCACAGCTGTGCTGAGGCTTCTTCCACCCTTCCTTGTGCGCCAATACAAGAGGCACCTCGGGACCTGCAGCACTACAGAAACCGGTTAACCAAACAGCAAAAGCTGGCAGATATTTATATGATGCTTTTGGAAACCTCATTAGCAAGGGGTTGGCATTCCTCATCAGCTATTTTAAAAGCAGCTGAATCCAACAGACAATTCATCAGACACCGATAGTGAACTTATTTGCAGTAATACCTGTACAAGAGCCATTACCGTGTTTACAGTCTACCCAAACTTTTAAGAAAAGTTATATACATCTGTAAAATTGGGCTTGGAGCTTCACAAGTAGAAACTAGTTCTAACACCTGAATGTAAAAATGGCACCTGTCTTGGCAACAGTGTTGACTAGGAAATTGGTTCAAAACACACTTCTATGGAAAACACTTTTTTTAGAAAAAGAATATTTTCTTAAAATTCCATAGTAACAAGTTTTCAGAATTCACTCAAGGCAGCTGTGAGTAAAAAAATAAAATAATAATAATAATTAAATGCACCACTAAAAATTAAACCAAATCTGCATGATCCCAAAGAGATGCTCACTTAAAAGAGGAACAAGTATCTGCAATAGTTCTGTTAATGCAGACAGATCATAAAGCAAAATGCTGAGGAATTCCTGTGACATATAATATAGTGTGATTTTGGTCCTACACCACAATCTGCTGTTAGTAAATGTACACTTTCTCAGCACAAGATGTGCTTTTTTTCTTTTTAATTTATTTTTAAGTGAATTTACTGTGATTGGTACATTTATTGGCACCTTCACCATTACAGACATGGCAAGTTTACAGGCACAGTTTGGAAGTACTGAAATTTAGGATTACAAACGTCAGAAGCTTGACAAATAATCACCTCAGCCACAAATCTGTTTTGGTATATTACAAAATACTGGGCACTTATATTTACTACCTGACCCAGAGATACCCAGACTCCCCATATCATCAGATGGGGGCAGAGGAACATTACCTTCCAACCTGGTAATTTAAAATTCACATACATTTAAAATAAGTCACTTAAAAAAAGCCAACAGACTTTTAGATTCCCCAGAGAACATCCATTGCAAGCGCAGGCACGCTGCCAGGCACCAAAAAGTTAAACGCCCTTCCTGGGTAGCTTCAGATGGACATCAGTCACCCCATTTTCCTGTACCTACACTCAGCTGTACTTGACCGGAACCCGTCACTTATAAGCTACTGACACTAAAACCAGAATAAATCAGGAGGAGAGGCAATGGCTACTTACAGTGGCAGAACTGCAGAACGATTGGCATCTAACAGGCCGCCGTGGCACAGACCGCTGTGACCACAGCAGAACAAGCGAGTCACCACCTTCAGAGTACCGAGTTCTGAAGGGTGATGCAGGTGAGTAAGGTTATTTGGTTTGGGTTAGGTCACACGATTCCTATTGTAATTCACACCGCACGTAACTGACAACAAGCGCTTTTGGTTGTGGTATGCTTTGGCACCTCCCCAGTTTGGAGGGGAATTATAGGGGATTAACTGCACATTCAAATCTTCCTTAGGCTTCTAAGCAAAGTCCTCTCGAATTCCTCCGCTCATGGTGGTAACTGAGCCGGCTCTGCAAACACGCTGCTTTCTGCACACCGAGTGTCATGCCAAATCATTTCCCTAGTGCAAATCAGCTAGAGCTCATGACGGGCCAAAACAACCTCAGTTAGTTAGAGCTGAACTGTCAAAAGGAAAAGCGCTCAGCCACTTAGCGACAGCAATGCAGGTCACTTGGTTTCCATACCCAAGGCCTGGGTGGCATAACTGATGTGGAAAGCTGCAGTAAGGAAGCTAATACTTCTGGAACTGGACTTTTTTTTTTTTTTTTTAATATATTTTCTCTGTTGTTGCAAGTCTGCCTGGCATTAACTCCTTGGTGTTTGGAGGCCATGACTGCCAATGGATGAACCAGGAACCACTGGCTTAAGGAAGAACCCCCACGGTTAAAAATAGGCAAGCAGGTCAAGAAGTGAGTGAATAAGGCGGTTAGGTATTAACTGGGAGTCTCCAGGGCCTCTAAAAAAAATTCAAATGCCTTCCATTATAAAAACACATACATACCATTGGCTTCACTTTATCTACAGTAAATTCACAAAAACATTTAAAACAGCAATCTAGTTTATCCACTACAAAACTCAGAAGTGACATCTCAGGTTAAAGCAAAGCTATAAATGTAGTTCTTTAAAAAATGCAAACATATTTCTTTACATACAGACAAATGTTACATGATTGGCTGCTATAATGTGTATATTCTGTTATGTACAAAAAAAGTACAGGATTAGCAGACTGAGCACAAGCAAAAACCCTTCAAGGACAATCTAACCAAACCACCAAAAACAAAAAGACTGGCTCTTAGTTTGTCGGTCACCATGATTATGTGTGCTGGCCCCTTTTAAAAAGTCAGTGATTTCTTCCCCCCTCCCCTATTTCTTCACTTGATTTTTTTTTCTAGTTTACAGAAAGCCTTTTTGTGTAATAATCAGTGAATAGAAAAACTTCACCTGCAAATACAAGGTAGAAATGTTATTTCACAGCTATAGGCTGCAGCATTGATCTCTCCAGATCTCAAATGGAGAATGTACATGTTTGGCTCCCAGTTAATTCCAGATTCTGAGAAAACTGTCCCAAGACCCTGTAGCTACAGCCATGCCATCATCGGTAACACCTAAACAGCTGACACGGTTGTCATGGCCAGCAAGGACACCTGGAAGAGAAGAAATATTGAAAGTTAACATTCACAGGGGGTCAGTGACTTCAGCTGCTGCTCTGCCCTCCCTGGTAAGTCTTCACACATGCTAAAAAAGACGTAACTCAGCATCCAAGCATCCTATTTCCTTTACCCTCAAGAACCATAATCAGAGCAGCCGTATCAGGAAACGCAGCAACGAGGTGTTACAGCGCTAAAAGGAGCCAAGCAGAACCCATTACACCAGCAGCAGCCCTGTCAGTGAGCTTTCCCTGCATTTTGCATAGATTTTGACTACCCATTTCCTGCTCGGGAAACGAAAAGCTTCGGCTCCCTGCAGCTCCATGCACTCACCTGCTCTCTCCCCTTTCAGAGTATCCCACACATTGCAGTTGAAGTCATCGTAGCCTGCTAGCAAGAGGCGGCCACTTTTTGAGAAGGCTACAGAAGTGATTCCGCAGATGATGTTGTCATGCGAGTACATCATCAGCTCCTGATCTGCACGCAGGTCAAAGAGTCGGCAAGTGGCATCGTCAGACCCAGTGGCAAATGCATGTCCATTGGGAAAAAACTGGAAGTTTTAATTGAGAGATGGGAGTTTGATATCAGAAAAACATTGATCAGGGGTTATTTCAGAAGCATCACAATATTATTTTGCCAGGGTGACCTGACAGAGGCCGAATGATGTATTAAAAAAGATGTGCTTGTTAAAAAGCTGCACATACACAGCTATGCAACAACACACTTCTAGAACAGCACCAATGACACTCGAATGCCTGGAATCCTACCCAGACAGCTCCTGCATGCAGTACAAGGGGAGGCAAAGGGGATGTAACTAACTCCTATAAAATGAAGCAAAATGTAGTTATTTGTGTCCTGGCTGTGGGCCGGGAAGACCTGGGTGAAGTGGTGCACAATGTTCCACCGTGAGACGGTCAGCCACGTTGGCTGAGCCGAGACAGAGGATTGCAAGTAAGCAATTCAATTTCCAAAATCTACTCCAAATCAGTCAGTCTTACAACAACCATATTGATTGAAATCGGAATGAAAAGAGCTCAGCGCATCTCAGGATTCAGGTCTAAGTATAGGAACTGCATTTTTCTACAGGTCATGCCTTTGGTATTCTCTCAGCCTTAATAATTTTTCATGTTTATCAAAAACAGATGCAGCTAAGACTTAGATTTCATTCCCTATTTGTCACAGCTGGTATCTTGCAGATCAGAACATAGTGTTACTATGACAGGGGAGAAATATAACCCAGTTTATAAATATTACAGAATGATTCCAAGGATGAATATTCAACATAAGCACTGATTTTAACTTTGCCTTGTACACAATTCACTGAAAGCTCTTTTCAACAGAAAATATCGAGTACATTTTTCTTTAACAAGGTTTAAGAGGAGGATGCTTGCCTATTTTGCTCCCTCTTGGCAGATCACATTTATCTATAATTTCAGTTTTAACACCTTGTCACCCAACTAAAATTTCCTGTCCTCTGTTCTTCATGTCTTAAAAAAGTAAGGTCTCGGCTGCTGAACGAGAACATAGCTGACACTATTCCAAGAACACTTCACTGCATCATAGATAATGGTAATAATTCAGTAATGAGCTAGACCACAGGTTATTAGACAATCTAATTACATACAACTTAACCATCTTTACCCTATCGAGATAACTGATTTTAAATCAAGGTAACCCAACAGACTGTAGGTTGAATTCATGCCGCTGTAACTTTTATCCTCCCCCTTGATTCCCATGCAGAAGTACAAACGATCACTTACACACACTGCATTGATGTCTGACACGTGCCCTGTGAACGACTGCCTGCACATTCCATCTCGAATGTCCCAGAGCTTTGAGGAGGCATCACAGGCACCAGAAACAAAAGTCCTCATATCTGGGCTTAGAGAGAGACTCATCACATCACCAGTATGCCCAGTGAACGTGGTGGTCTGCTGACCAGTTTCAATGTCCCACAAAGCGCTGCAGATAAAGTGACAGCATTAACATAAGGTCGTTTTTTATTTGAGAGCTTCAGTTTTAAATACAAATTAAGGCATTGGGAAAACAAAAAGTAACTAAGCCCAAAAACTCACCAAGTGGTGTCTCCTGAGCTAGTGACAATTTGGTTGTCATCTAAGAAGCGACAACAGGACAAATATCCTAAAAACAAAAGTTAAGAAAGTTTCAGACTCAGTTAAACTGAAGATTAAAATCCAAGAGTAGTGATTGCAGTTCTCCCACAGACAGTCTGTGGGCACATGAAAAAGCATTTCACACCCCAATACATCTCAAAGCCAGACTGCTTCATTTGATACAATAAAAAAATAAATAAAACAAAAACAAAAGCTGAAACAAGAATATGGCTGACCTGTGTGCCCTGGCAGCTCCCGGCTCACTCTCACATTGCCCTCTCTGGTTTTCAAGTTGTATATGGAGCAGATGTTGTCCAATCCACCACAGGCCACGTAGTTGCCAGACGGTGCGTACGCACAAGTCATCACCCAGGAGGATCTCAAAGGAATGGCATGCATCTTCGGAAAGAAAGAGCACATGAGTGCTACATCACACCTTCGCTCTCCCGTTTTACTGAAGTCATTCAGTCATTTCATGAATTACAGCAGATTAAACACACCGAACAGACTGTGTATTGTAAACTCCAGTAACTTGATTCTAGAATTATATACAACAACCTACGTTCGTACATATACAAGGATGAGAAATACCAGTAAGTCTCCTGTGAGCATATACAGAATTTCTGTACAACATTATTTAATAGCAAAGCTACTCTAAACTTAAACATTTACAAAATCTGTTTATTCTACTTTGATTTCTTTATCCAATTCTTCTGTCTCTTAAGTGCAGGTTATAAAATGGGACAGTAAAATGGGATGGTTGTGCCCAGGGATGCTGGTCAGTTTACAGCAACAGATCACCTCCCCACACTCTACCTAAGCTTTCCTCCTTGAACAGCTTTTTTTTTCCTCCCCCTTTCTCTGACCCCACAAGCAAAGCATTCATGTAAATTCTGAGGTTGTATATTTCTACAATTTAAAGCCAAATTAGTTTTTATGCAACAACACAGGGACAGATAAGAATAGCAAACTAGAGTAAAAGCAAACCAGAGTAAAAACCTTAGTTATTACCAAGAAGTCCTACTTCTGAGGAATAGCATACAGCGTATCTCTAGCAAACAGCTAGTCACAGGAGTGGAAAAAGGATTGTTTTTCTAATGTAGACTGCTGCTTTTCATTTTTGACTTGCAAACACAGAAAAAATAGTCACAACTTCCCTAAAACACGCAAATTATGCATGAATTAGTGATATGAATTATAAATAACTCTACCTTATTTGTTGTATAACTATCCCAGATAATTAATTTTCCATCTTGTGAAGCACTGACTAGTAGCCTAAACATAAACACAAAATAAAATAAGTTAATATAAAACAAAAAATAAATTCTCAAAATAGACATACATCATGCATGATTATCAAGTGATTCAGACTTTTGCTATTGACATTTGCCTTTTTCTTTTTTTTTTTTTCTTTTTAACTTTTAAGTACAATGTTTGTTGGATAATCTGCAAAGAACTAGATATTACATCACTAAAGAAACCCATGTCCAAAGGGGCTCATGATTAATGATGGACAAAACTTAAAATACATTTTAGAAACTCTCTCTACCACTGCGTTTGTTTTTTGCATACAAATATTTTAACTATAAAGCTAAAAAATAAACATAAATAAATTTAGGAGTAAAGAAGCCTTATTCTGGAAGCAGATTCTGGATGCGTATTTCCAGACTACACGTGGGAGAACAGAACCCAAGGCTCTGTGAACATCTGACTACCAGTTGCTCTAAGGCAGAGCAACGTAACTCCATCCTCAAAGCTTTGTGACTTTTCCTTGCTAAATACAAAAGCGTCTTTTTCAGTTAAACAAAGTTAGCTTGTAAAGTCTCAGAACTCTGTTATGACAGAAGTCATATTATTAGACAGTATTATTCAACATCATGGAAAACGCAATATTGATCATTCCAGAAATATGCCTCATCACATACCCTTCTCTGCTTAAACAGATTCAAAGAACTCAGCCAAAACTAAAAGAAGGAAAAGGCAAAATGTCTGTGGTAAGAACAAGCAAGGCACCTCTTCTTTCACTCAATGCTTCTCTATTGCTGCTACGCAGTCCTCATCAGCTTTATAAAGGCAAATTATAGAATAAGGAATGAGATTGCTGGGGATGTTCACCCTGAAGAAGAGAAGGGTCTGGGGTGACCTCACTGCACCTTTTTAAGGCTTAAAGGGGGCTTATAAAAAAGATGGAGAACAACTTTTTGCTCAGACAAACAAGGACAGGACGAGGGGGAATGGTTTTAAACTAAAAAAGGGGAGATTTAGATTGGATGTTAGGAGGAAATTCTTCACTCAGAGGGCGGTGAGGCACTGGCACGGGCTGCCCAGAGAAGCTGTGGCTGCTCAAGGCACCTGTGGAGGTGCTGTGGAGCTGTGGAGGTGCTCACGGCCAGGTTGGATGGGGCCTGGGCAACCTGATCTGGTGTGTGGCATCTCCCTATAGCAGGGGGTTGGGACTGGGTATCTTTAAGGTCCCTTCCAACCCAAGTTGTTCTATGATACAGCCAAACAAACAAAGAAAAAAAAGACTGCACCACATGGCTCTCAAAACTTGACATTGTTTCAAGTAGACAATCTTATTTCTAACACGTAAATGACAGGTTTACAGATCAATTGTACAAACCTTGAGTCAGATCCCCAGTGCATAGCATAGATTTTGGCTAAGTGACCTCTAAGCGTACGCCTTGTTCGCATTTGAATTCGACCCACTGAGTCCAGGCTTGTTGTGATCTAAAAATAAATAAAGCAACCCCTGAGATACTGAGGACTATTTTTAATATACGAGATAACTGAATACATTTCAACTCTGATTAAAAAAATAAAAGCTATCTTGGAATGCAATACATAAAGAAGAATACTAGCGTACAGCCCAGGATTAGTTCCATGTAACAATGGGAAAAAGAGATTTTTACAAAAGTAACATTCTTCATAATGGCTGTAACCAGAGCTTCGGAAATCTTTTGAAGATGTTACTATGCAATACTGAGCCTAATTCAGATTATCAAATCTGAAAATTTTCGATTAAAACCAAGTGAAGAAAATCTTCCAATACTTACTGCATTGTTACTTTTACAAGCATGGCAAAACTTCAAACACCAAGTACATTTGTTTCCAGAATACAGCAAAAAAACGATTTTCCAAGTTTTTCCAATATAGTAAATACAATTAACACACTCTATTGAGAAGGTAACTTTGAAGCAGGACATATTAAGGTGGTGGGGTGGTGGTTTTTTGGTTGGTTTGGATTTTCTGGTGTGGCTGTTTGTTGTTGTTTTTTAATTAACTATATAAATTTATGGTACATCTCCCAGTTCTTGTTCCACCTTATTCTTTCAGTTACCAAATAAGAACATATTACAATCATGAACTGTAGGGCTGTGTGTTTTTTGTGTCATTTTTTCTTTTTTAAATGTCAAGGAACAACTTGTACACCGAATCAAGTACATACCTGAGCAAGAGTTGTGTCACTACATGCTTTCCTTGCATCCTGAAACGAAAGAACAGAAACAATTTGAATCTAAAACACAACACTGAGCATCAAACTGAGGGGTAGGAGAAGAAGAGGGACTTACAAGGAGTCACGTCCCAGTAACCTTTCAGTCTCCCTTTCAACAGAATACGTGATTCAACAGCATTTGAAGTTACCCTCACGTTGCAGTGCCTATCCCTTTCCCTGTATCCCTTCCCTGGTGCTGCTCTGCCTGCTCAGGGGGCACTGCGCACCCAGGGAAGGAACTGATCCTGCTTTAAAAACAACCACTCACTGTATGGTTAACAGGTTTTGTGCTGGGTGAGGCTCTTGTATTCACTCCCCTTGCCATCGCAGGTGTGATGACACCAGTTATGAGGGGCATGACCTGGGGAGTGGGATGGACAGCAGGCTCGCAGAAGCTTAAGCTGCTGCTGTATTTCATACTAAATGAAGAAAAATTATTCTACACTTTCATTCATTTCATGGAAAGGATGGTGCTCAGATCTCCATACAGATACTTTGTCTTTTTTCTTTACTTCAGGCTGGCTTTCTGTGTGTTATTCAACCCTACCTAGAAGCCAGACTTTATTTTTGTTTGCACGGTAACAGATTGGACACCTGAACCAGGTGAGCACTTCTGAGCCTGGCCTGCAATGCCCAGATCTTGCAAAACCAGATTTTGGTTACAATTGCAAATGCACAGCACTCCTGCAACCCAGACTCCAGCCTTTGTAAAACAAAACTAGACACACAGTCAGCAACCTCTTCTGACAAGCATGGTTTAAAATAATTGGCTTACAATCAGAGACAAACTCTATAGTGCAAGTTAGAAATAAAACTATCAACAGCAATAATGAAGGATCATCCACAAGAACCATCCTAATTCCCTGTAGTTTCTCTGAAGACCATCCAACTTCTGCAACCAACAAAGCATGCATGGCTGCCTTTATCACTTTGTGTGGCCCTCACCCCAAGAAAGCGTCCTATTTGTACACTAATGGTAACGTCATCTTTGAGAGGAGGAACAGAAACATTTACTTAGACATTTTGGAACTGAATTAATGCACTCAAACTAGACTCTTAGAACTTTTAAATACCTTGCTTGAGAGCTCCTTAATATAACAACTTTAATAACTTTTCGTGAGTGTTTACTTTGACTACCCTTTATAGCTTTTCTCCCAGAAAGCAGGCTTGAGAGTGGATTAAGTCATCTCAACTTATTTTTAAAATGTCTGAACTGTAGAAATATTTATAAAATGTTGACGTCTGGAATCAGGAGGGGTTTAAAATACCAGAGCAGTAAATCCCCTAGCACACAGGACTTACTTCGCTCACAGGAAGAAACATGCTGGATTTTAAACAACTTTAATTGTTTAGTTTAGCTGAAACACTTGAAGATGTTCAACATAAAATTAATTCTGAATGTGATCTTAACTCAACAAAGCAACTTTTCTTAAAGAGAGCTATTAGCAACACCTGTATTGAGGCTAATACTTGTCATATGATTGGCACATTTGTAAGTTTTAACTGGCCATTTTAATTCTCACATTTTAAATGTCTTTTCTACATATGCATCATCACATTACGCCATTTACAGATTTGTTTTTACAGATATTTTTTTTCCAAATTTGTGTAGAATCATTGGTGTCATAGCACAAAGAATAAAAATGCCATCCACTCCTGGAAGGTTCTCCCTCCCTCTCTGTGCTTTAATCTGCATGTCTGTCAAGATGTCTCTCACTTTTAGCACAGATCTTTTAATACCCTTCACCCCAACTTGTTATGTCTAGGTTCTAGAAGTTTGCTGCTCACTTTTTTTAAAAATCACAACCACAAAATTTGCTAAGAGGCACACACCCCTAGCAACCAAACGTAGTATACTTCCACAGGAAACAGAACATTTTGTTCAAGAGATGCTAGGAATGAGCTCTATTATACCAATGGCTTACTTTCATGTTTTTTTATTAAACAAATATTTTGGAAGTATTAAAACTCTGCATAACTTAAACGGGAGCAAGTAAGAGAGATGATCTTTACACTTTATTCCTTTAAAAGGAGGAACTTCATCATGAAAAATAAGGAATTAGCAATTCTTACTCTGATCTGATTTCGCAGCTGCTCCGCCTCCTGCCGCAACTGTTCCAGCTCGCTCATCTTGCTTCAGTCTCTATTCCTCACGCTCCACTGGTGAAGAAAACCTGCCAACAAGGAGGAGAAAAGTTTCAGTATCACACTGTTTTGTTTTGTTTTTTAAAAAAGTAGAAGAACAAACTATACACCTATAGTTATTCTGCCTATACAAAGGCTCCAAATAAACATTCCTTTTAGTACAGTGTCAAGTGAATTCAGTGAGACCCACGGTACTGCTATTGCCGAATTACTGTGAAAAGTACAATTAAATTAAATGTATTTTGAGTACAGAAGCAACTGTCAACAGAAACACCCATAGTACTTTATGAAAACGTTACTGAACGCACTTCAGCCTCGCTCTTCTCACCCACACTGAAACGTCCAGGAATGTCAGACTTCACCCCAAGATGGCAACAGAGAGCAAAGGCTGAAGCAGCCGCTTTAAAACATCTAACCTTAAGCTCAACTGTGAAACGAGCATCTTTCTACATGACATCCAAGGCAGCTTTCATTTTAAAGGTGAAAATCTTGAATCCTAGGTTACAGCTGAAATAGGTTTTCTACAGTTTTCTCCATATTTTCTATGGCAAGACACAACGTAGGTTTCATTTCAAAAGCACGCACAGGGTGAGAAGGAATAATACAGATGGAAACATCCATAAAAGCAACTTCATGCTGTGGGGTACAGCCCACAGCAGCCTAAAGCAGTTCTCATCTCAACAGGGATGTAAAGTGACCTTAAGAGAAGAGGCCAAAAACCAGCAAGACCAGATGTAAGCACAATTTCAGTTTTTAGGTGTGGTTTGTTTGTTTGTTTTCTTTTTAAATCACATTTTGCACGCGTATGTTGTGATGTTGAACAATTTCCTCGAACCAATTTTCCTCTTTATCCTCAGTACAGCAGTGCAACCCAACACCACGATGGAGACCTCCCCATCTACCCACACACACCCCAATAACCTCCCAGTGACAGGGGACCCAACCAGTCTCTTGCTGGGGAGCAAGCCAAGCACGGGTTTGTCTCTTTTTCTCTGACAGCAAAATTACACGGAAAGGCTGGGAGGTGGTGGGGCCGGGTCTCCCGCTATGTTATCTTTAAAATAAACCAAGCACACTTCTAGCCTACAAAAGAAAGAAGAAAGCCAAGCTACTGCTCACAAAATGCAAACTGAGGGAGGAAAAAGCTCTTCCAAACATTATTCTGAGTATTTTAATTTAAACATGAGAGAAAATACAGTAGTGCCCACCTGATTTAATTCACTGAAAAATGATCGAAATGAAGCCTTTTTATGAATAAACCCAACATATAAAACTGGATCACCTCTAAATCAAAAACATCCTACAGCAAGAGCACAGCGGTGATTTAGGTCTAACCAATACTTTCAGCTACACCTCAGCAAACTGTGAAGTCCGTACCTTCACCTTCCCTAAACCTATGCTCTGCTCACCTAGAAGACACCATTGTCCGTGTGTGAATACTCTGGGAGGCTGTTTGATGCACCACCGATGTCCTATTTCAGAAGCCCAGACTATTTAATGATGCTTAGTTCACAGCAGGCATAAAATAAAATTAATCAATACACTGATGTCCAACTTCAAAACTGAAATGTTAAGAACTGCAACCACTTCAGCATGCACGCTAATCAAATGCTTTCAGTCTTTGAAATTTAATTTTAACACAGTTGATCAGAATACCGCACCTCTCTGAAATACAGTTCCAACAGTGTCAAAATTTCCTGTTTTTGTTCTAGAACGTACCCAAAGGTAGCACAGACACAACAACGGACTCAAGTGTCTAAAGCAGGCAAGCCATGATACCTGCCCTCCTCTCAGTTACCTCCTGTGCTATTTTTAACAGAAGGTAAAGATTCCTAACAGAAAAGCTGATCTCTTTCTAATCTTCTGTGAAGGGAAATGCGCTTCTGCTCTGTGATGTGCCACACACGTCAGTGCTCTGTGAAGGGTGACTTCAACACAGAGAATAATTCACCTTAAAGAAAGAGACATTAATATTGAACTGGAAGCGTGCATTGCTGGTCACAAGCAGGTACAGGCAGGGCATCTTTTTACTGGCAGGTGAAACTGTGAATGTATCAGAAATTTGGTCTCAGAGACCACTGCTGACCATTCTGCACTTAAACCATAAAGGCAGCATCAATGACTTTAACGCCATTAGTGTCAGTAGTGTTCATCCCTAATGCCACTTCTGCATGAAGCCGCACCAGCAGCTGGACAGCCTCAGATGGTGTTACCCGAACACACACATTGCCACGTGGCCACACTCCAACTTCTGAGCTCTTCTCACTCACCCGTATCAAGCTTAAGTATTGATCCCTGAGCAAATTCAAGGACAATGACCTTTTTATTTTATTTACAAAACCATTGTTAAAGTTGAGAAGCCCCAGCGGTATCGGCACGTTCTGAAGTCTGCACGGTCGCCAGGAACGTGTCAGTGCTTCGAGGCCAGTCCACGCCTCGGCGAATGCAGCCGCTCCGAGTCATGCGAATTAGAAGGGAATCTGGATTAATTTAAGATAGAATAACCTGGGTTTCAAGTTCCTTTCCAGTTCGCAGCAGCTGAACAGCAAACTCTGAAGCTTTATATACAGACACGGGGACACCACAGCACACAACCTCAGTTCAACCACTGAGCTGAAGTGTACCCAGAGCTCTCTGCTGGCCTGGCTGCAGCTCCCTCTGAGCTGCACACGGGTTCAAATGAGCACCCACCTCCAAGTATTTAGCAGGACTGTGAGCACGATGCTTCCACTTGGGATTTTTTTTTTTTTAATCCACCATTCCGAAATGCCCGGAGGAAATTACAGAAATGGGGTGGGCAGGGAGGAAGCTCTCAGACTCCTCCCCAGACGCAGGCTATCTCCACGAGCAGCGCTCCTGAGCTGCTGCCAGCACCTGCCTGGTGCCACGATCCCAAGAGCACAGCGCGAAGATCTGTGCACACGTGGGTTTGTCTCTGCTTTGATGCTGCTGGTGCGACAGTGCTATGACTGAAGACAGCAAACGACAGGAAGCCAGAGGCAAGGCGTAGCTGTGTGTGCAGACCACCACCCAGGTGAGATGTGCGTGTTGTGATCTTGTTTCTGAGCACATCAGCGAGGTGACCTGCCAGCCATGGCAAGAAGACGCGCCGAGGTGCCCGGTGGTAAAGGCAGATGGGTACATCCTGTAAACCTCTCCGCTGCGAGGAGAAGCAGGCCATCCCCACAACCTTGAAGCAGACTATTTCCAAATACTGCCAGTCATCAGATAAAAACCATTTGTTTTTTTATCAGATTAAATGCTGTGACTACCTTCTGAGGGATCGCAACGAGCAGAGGCAATCTGTATCACAAATTCTTCTTCACACAATGGATTAGTGAAAACCTCCTCGGATTCAGATCTAACCTGGACAAGGGTTACACAGGACATGTCTGTTCTTCTTCCCCTCCCAGAAAATGAAATGCTACCAGTCAGGACGGAGTACTGCTCCACAGCCTGGTAAACTCATTATTGCAGACACGAACTTCCCAAGCCACACCATGCTCTGATGCGCACTCAAAGAAGCCATCAGCGCGCTCACCACAAGCAGAAACGGAGCCGTGATTCCTCTTGTCATCTCAGGGGACAGAGGGGAGCAGGATGTCTACCTCCCTAACTTATTAAATTTTTAATAAGTGTCCGGACAGAGAAAGAATATTCTGAGTGCAATGAAATGCAGAACACCAGTGGAAGCTGCTTTTCAGCACTTGCTGGTAGAAATGCCTACAGAAAACCCAGATGCTTCTCTTCGCATGCAGCCCATGATGCACACGATGCACTCTGAATAATGGCATCTGCTACAGTGAAGAGGCCTTGAGGGGATGAGCAGCAGGAAGTGGAAGAACTTTTTAATAATACCGCTAGCCAGGGGGGGCACCGCTGCTAATTGCCAGAGCAATCAGGAAACGGGGTCAAGGACACACCGTGCTTCCCATCAGAACCGACAGCAGGAGCATTGCGAGGAGCAGCTACACGTAACCACGCGGCACAGCTTGGCTTTGTAACGCAGTGTCACTGGTAGGCTGCCCGCTGCCTCTGTACGACTCGTCCTCCGTGGGCATGATCAGCTAATTCAGTCACACCGAAATAAACTGCCCCTCCTCGAGGCAAACTAATTGACTCAGGATTCCACAGCACATCTAGTGGCGTGACGGCCATGGCCAGGCTGAGCGCTCCAGAGATGAATTATTCCTTGCCCTGTTCCTGATTCAGTACCCGCATCACTTGCTAACGGTTCAATTCCTCGTTATATGGGCAGGCAGTGGCAAATTACCCCAAGTTCTCGTCCTGAAAGTACTTTCTCTGTAACACACGGACTCAGATGAAGCTCTTCTCTGCAATGCTGACTCCAAAGGCACTCGAGGAGGCGCTGCACAAGCAGGGTTGTGGGGGGCTCATCTGGGTGCCAAAAGGGAACCCCTGGCCCCCCTGCTCCGAGCTGGGCAGCTGAGTCAGGGGCAGGGAGCCCACTCAGCTCTGGAGAGCCAGGAAATGGGCTGGTCCTTGGCAGATTGCTGGAAGAATAGTCAGGTGTGTAAGGATAGGAACCTTTAGTTCTACAAAGCAGAGCTATTTCTGTCTCGGAGAAGATTACAGTTTACAAACTAAGATGTTAAGTAATTTGGTTTCTTTTTTTTAAAAAAAGAAAAAGAAAAAATAGAAAAAATGGACTTAAAACGGACTTTTTCAGTTGCCACAGTAAGCTTAGCTTGTTCCCATGTAAAATCACCATACAGACAAGGCAAAAAAAAAACGACTAGAGGAGTGTAAATATGCTCCTCCCCACAACAAAGCACTGCTATTTTTGTACCAAATATAAAGAGACTAACGAGACAGAAAAGAGAACAGTCTGGCTGCCTGGAGTCTTAAAAGCTATCCACCGAAGGATTGTTCAGGCAATAACTGGATTCTGGATCAAAAAAAAAACAGTTTTAGAATTTAAATAAGTGCTTAGCTATACATACCAGCTCTCAACTTTTCAAGGCATATGCAGCAAGATCTCACAAGTGGTAAACACACAGCAGCAGAA